TATGGCAGAGCAATGGGCGGGGGGGGGGGGGGGGGGGGGGGGGTAGGGGTGGCGGTGAGAGGGCATGCAATCTGAAAGGAGCAGGGGAGAGTACAGCCCCAACATGTACTCTTTCGAGGGAAATCTAGGAGCAATAAGTCCAGAGAATCCTGGATGTCTACGACAATTCAGGACTGGATACAGAAAAAAGCAAGTCTAAAGGAAGTAATTCAGCTGTGGCCTGACTGGAATACAGGAGGTGCAGAAGGGAACTTAAGAAAGCAATTAGAAGAGAAAGAAGGGGTATGAAAAAGGGCTTGCTAATAAGAGAATCTTAAGATATTTTATGAATACATTAAAGGGAAGAGGTTAACCAGGAAAGAGTAGGGCCCATTAGGGACCAAGGGCGCTGTCTGTGAAGCAACAGGATATTGAAAGGATGTTGAATGAATACTTCTCTTCGGTCTTCACTGTGGAGAAGGAGAATGGAGGTCCAGAATTTCAGCAAAAGGGACTGTGAGGAACTTGAACAGTGTGACATAGGAAATGGGGAGGTATTGGAGGCTCTGTCAGCCAGATCCCCTGGCCTGGATGCAATGCATTCCATGCTTCTGTGGGAGGTGAGTCAGGAAACTGCAGGGGCTCTGACAAGCATTTTTAACTTCTCGCTGGCCACAGGATGGTGCCAGAGAACTGGAGGACGGCTAATGTGGTTCCACTTTTTAAGAGGGGTGGTAGAGATGAATCAGGAAATTACAGATCGGTGAGTTTCACATCAGAGGTAGGGAAACTATTGGAGAAAATTCTGAAGGAGGGAATTAATATCCACTTGGAAAATCATGCGAAATTAGGGATAGTCAGCATGACCCTTTCAGAGGGAGGTCATGCCTAACTAATTTGTCAGAGTGATTAGAAAATGTGACAAAGAGTGCAGATGAACATAGAACATAGAACATAGAACATTATAGCGCAGTACAGGCCCTCCGGCCCTCGATGTTGCGCCGACCTGTGAAACCAATCTGAAGCCCATTTAACCTAAACTATTCCATTATCATCCATATGTTTATCCAATGATCATTTAAATGCCCTTAAAGTTGGCGAGTCTACTACTTTTGCAGGCAGGGCATTCCACGCCCTTACTACTCTCTGAGTAAAGAACCTACCTCTGACATCTGTCCTATATCTATCACCCCTCAATTTAAACCTATGTCCCCTCGTGCTAGCCATCACCATCCGAGGAAAAAGGCTCCCACTGTCCACCCTATCTAATCCTCTGATCATCTTGTACGTCTCTATCAAGTCACCTCTTAACCTTCTTCTCTCTAACGAAAACAGCCTCAAGTCCCTCAGCCTTTCCTCATAAGACCTTCCCTCCATATCAGGCAACATCCTGGTAAATCTCCTCTGCACCTTTTCCAATGCTTCCACATCCTTCCTATAATGCGGTGACCATTACGCAATATTCCAAGTGCGGCCGCACCAGAGTTTTGTACAGCTGCAACATGACCTCATGGCTCCGAAACGCAATCCCTCTACCAATAAAACCTAACACACTGTACGCCTTCTTAACAACCCTATCATGAGGGAAGTTCAGTTGACGTGGTTTACATGGATTTTAGCAAAGCTTTTGACAAGGTCTCACATGGGAGACTGATTGAGAAGGTTAAAGCACACGGAATTGAGGGAAACTTGGTAAGATGGATCAGAAACTGGCTTAGTAATAGGACATAAAGGGTAGTGGTAGACGGCTGTTTCAGTGACTGGAGGGCGACGTCCAGCAGTACATCACTAGGATCACTAACTGGACTCTCATCATTTGTTATGATCATAAATAATGTAGATGAAAATGTTGGGGGGAATGTTAAGCAAATTTCCAGATGACACCAAGACCAGTGGGTGGTTAATAGTGAAGAAGATGGTTGTAGGTTACAGGAAGATATAGATACATTGGTCAGATGGGCAGACCAGTGGCAGATAATATTTAACTCGGTGGTATGGTGGCTCAGTGGCTAGCCCTGCTGCCTCACGGCGCCAGGGACCTGGGTTCGATTCCACCCTTGGGCGACTTTCTGTGTGGAGTTTGCACATCCTCCCGTGTTTGTATGGGTTTCCTCCAGGTGCTCCGGTTTCATCTCAGTGTCCAAAGATGTGCAGGTTAGGGTGGATTGGCCATGCTAAATTGTGTCCAGGGATGTTTAGGTTAGGTGGGTTAAACATGGGAAATGTAGGGGTTGGGGAATGGATCTGGCTGGGATGCTCTTCGGAGGGGTAGTGTGGACTGAATGGCTTATTTCCACACTGTAAGGATTCTATGATAAGTTTGAGGTGATGCGCTTTGAAAGAAGAAACAAGATGAGGGAGTATTTAATAAATGGTAGGACACTGGGTAGCTCAGAGGAGCAGAGGGATCTTAGGGTAATTATTCAGAGATCCCTGAAGTGGGCAGAGCATGTGAATAGGATAATTATGTAGGCATATGGGACACTTGCTTTTATCAGCCATGGCATAGTGTATAGGAGCAAGGGGGTATTTATTGGAGTTGTACAAAGTGTTGGTCAGGCCACAGCTGGAGTATTGTGTACAGTTCTGGTCACCTCACTACTGGTAGATTGTGTTAGCACTAGAGGAGGTACAGAGGAAGTTCACCAGGAAGATGCCTGGGATGGAGAAATTGAGCTATGAAGCGAGACTAGATAGGCTTGGGTTGTTTTCTTTAAAGCAGAGAAGGCTGAGGGGTCACATGATTGAGAAGTGTGGATTATGAGAGGTATAGACAGGGTAAGTAGGGTTGACGGGTCAGTCACAAGGGGGCATCATTTTAAGGTAAGAGGCAGAAGATTCAGAAGGAATTTGCGAAAAACCTTTTCCACTCAGTGGGCGGTGGGAATCTGAAATGCACCATCTGGGATGGTAGTGGAGGCTGGAAACCTTACAATCTTTACAAAATATTTGGATGAGTACATTAAATATCATAACATTCAGGGATACGGAAGAATAAACAAGATGAGGGAGCATTTAATAAATGGCAGGACACTGCATAGCTCAGAGGAGCAGAGGGATCTTGGAGTAATGATTCACAGATCTCTGAAGTCAGCAGAGCATGTGAATAGGATAGTTAAGTAGGCATATGTGACACTTGCTTTCATCAGTCATGACATAGTGTATAAGAGCAAGGAAGTAACATTGGAGTTGAATTTGCTCCTACATTCAAGAATGTGAGTTAGGATTAGTGCAGGAAATTGGGATTAGTGCACTTTTAGCGACAGTAATGTCAGTGCCTATTCTGCGCTGTATGAATCTATGAATCTAATCTATGAATGTGTAAAAGGCAGTTTGCAAGGGTCTTTCTGACAAGAAAGATCTGTAGGAGGAGAAGTGCTGTGAATAGCAATTGCGAGAGCACTCAGCACTGAGCTTTTTAAAAAAAAAATGCAGAAAAATCATTGAATCTGTGTCTATAAATACTAGTCTGTAGAGACTGAAGTGCTAAGCTTGTAAAAAGACTGGCCAGAAATCTGGTGAAAGCTGAGGGTACATAAAACACATGCATCAACCAGTTATAGTGATGACAAGGAGTATCTGTAAAGTTACTGTTGAGGATAAAAAGGTGAATTTTATTTCTGGTATTTGTGATGAATTTGTTTCAAATTGTTCTTCTAAAATGTAACATTGCTCACGATTTTCTTTTATAATAAACTTTGATGTTCTATTGTTAAAAGTACATTGACAGCTACTTGTAGATATGTTCAGTGACTGAACCACCATGATTAACAAAGATCAATTAAAAAATATATGGACTATCAAGCCAGGTTTCATTCTAGGGTATGACTTGTGCAGTTTTCCTATCCGTTTGGATCATAACAAATCTTCCAATTTTCTTATGGTTGGCGCTAAAAACAAAATTATTTCCTGGGCAGATGGAATGGCAAAAGGGGATAATGGCATTAAAAAGTAATTTATCCAAATATGTTGACCACACAAAACTGGGCAGTATTGTAGTCAGTGTTGATGACAACATAAAATTACAACAGGATTTCGACAGATTAGGTGAATGGGTAAAGCTGTGGCAGATAGATTCTAGTATAAGCAAGTGTGAGGTTAATCATTTCAGACCAAGGAAGGATAGATCAGGACATTTTTCAATTGGCACAAAGTTAAATACAGTGAATGCCCAGCAAGATTCGGGGTTCAGACGCAAAACTCTTCAAAAGGTCCAAAACAGGTGCAGAAAATCGTCAAGAAGGCTAATGGAATGCTGGCCTTCATATCTAAAGGGATGAAGTACAGGAATGCAGACGTTATGCTGAAGCTATACAAAACCCAAGTTAGGGCCCACTTAGAGCACTGTGAGCCGATCTGGGCACCACACATGAGGAAGGATGTTGTGGCTCTGGAGGGAGTGCAATGCAGGCTTACAAGAATGATATCTGGACTTCAGGGGTTATGAGGAACGATTAGACAAATTAGGCCTTTATTCTCTAGAATCTAGAAGGTTGGGATGGGAGTGGGGGGGGGGGGGGGGGGGGGGGGGGGGGGGGGGGGGGTGGTGGTGGCCTAATCAAGGTTTAAAGGATATTAACAGGAAAAGACAGGGTCAAAAGACAGGGTAGATTGATCTTAGTAGGTTAATAGGTCGGCACATCATCGTGGGCTGAAGGGCCTGTACTGTGCTGTACTGTTCTATGATCTATGTTCTAATAAAGATAAACTATTTCCACTGGTTAAAGTGTGTAGAACCAGGGCATAGTCTGAGAATTACGGTCAGGCCATTCAGGAGAGACGTTAGAAAGCATTTCTTAAAGCAAACAGTAGCTGAGATTTGGAACACTCTTTTGTCGTTTTCTGACAAAATACCATACACAGTTTTAAGAAGATCACAGTGCATGAAACGAAGGAGAAAGTATAGTATGGACACAAAATTGTCTCAATGCCAATAAGTAGGGGCTGGTTGTGGTTAGATGAATTTAATGGTTTCCAGTGAGGCTCAGTCTTGAGTCCTTTTGATTTTATTATAAACAAACTTAGGCACAGACAGCAGCATTATGAAGTTCAAACTCACGTTTCCTGAGCAAAAATGAACCTATGTCTTCCCTGTGGGGATGGAGGTAAAGGAATACAATATAGCCAGTCAATCCCAAGATTATGCAAAATACCATTCCTGAAATCACTCGGAATGCTAGTGAAATATCTGGAAAAGGGCAAAAGAAAGGCACAATTAAAAAATGTGTGAAATTGCTTATAGATAAATATTTGTAATATTTTATTTTCAATTATATTTATAGCTCAGAGTACGTTTGATGCTCCCCAGTACAACAATCAGAAATGTAACATCAGCCTGAGTCTTTAAGTGGAATTCTTCACTGGACCATTAAATTCAGGTCCTGTTAACAGCTTATTTCATCCAGGGTTGCACATCCAGTGGGAAAGGTGGTAGTTTACTGTCACTACAGTAATGACCTAGAACTTCAAGCTAATGCTCCAGGAACATGGGTTCAAATCCCACCAAGGCAGATTGTAAAATTTAAATTCAATAAAAACAAATTCATAATTAACCATTAACCACTGCTGATTGTTGCAAAAAAAATTAATCTGGTTCACTAATATTGCTCAGGGAAGGAAATCTGCCATCCTTACCTGGTCTGGCCTAAATGTGACTCCAGACCCACAGCAATCAGGATGATTCTTAACTGACCTTTGGGCAATTAGGGATGAAGGATAAATACTGGCCCTGCCACTGATGCCCACATCCCGGGACTGAATACAAAGGGGAAAGCAACAGTGCCTCAATGATTTGGCAGCACCTGAAATATGTTAAATGGCATTTGGGTCAAATGATATTCGTCCTTCCTAGAACAAAAACAGAAGTTGCTGGACAAGCTCAGCAGGTCTGGCAGTATCTGTGAAGAAAAGTTAGAGTTAACCTTTCAGGTCTGGTGACGCCTCCTTACAGCTGTTGACTCTGAATAAGTCATGTTGCATTTCTGAAGCTGAATGAACCATAAGGGCAGTACATGATAATATAAGTGCTCCCATCGACACAGCGCTTTAGCCACTATCTCTCTTACTTCTGACACCATATAATTTAATAAAAGCCATGAGTATGGTGCATAGTCTTAACTGGACTACAGAAACCATTTGTTTTTAGATGTTCACAGGTTGTGGGCATTAATGGTTGGGCCAGCATTTATTGTCTTCCCAATATCATATTTAGACAATGTTCCACACTGTTGAGGATAAATGCCAGTGTTGAAAGTACTTCAAACTTTGTCTTTTGCACTGATGTGCTGGGCTCTCCCATCATTGAGGATACTTGTGGAGCATCTTCCTCTTGTTGATTGTTTCAATATTCAGAGCTGCAGATTGACAGAGTAGTGAAGAAGGCATTTGGTACGCTTGCCTTTATTGGTCAGTGCATTGAGTATAGGAGTTGGGAGGTCGTGTTATGGCTGTACAGGACATTGGTGAGGCCACTTTTGGAATACTCTGTTCAATTCTGGTCTCCCTGCTATAGGAAAGATGTTGTGAAAGCTGAAAGGGTTCAGAAAAGATTTACAAGGATGTTGCCGGGCTTAAGGGTTGGAGCTATAGGGAGAGGTTGAGTAGGGTGGGGTTATTTTCCCTGGAGTGTCAGAGGTTGAGGGGTGACCTTATAGAGGTTTATAAAATCATGAGGGGCATCGATAGGGTGAATAGCCAAGGTCTTTTGCCCAGAGTAGGGGAGTCCAAAACCAGAGGCCTAGGTTTAAGGTGAGTGGGGAAAGATTTAAAAGGGACCTAAGAGGCAACTGTTTCTTGCAGAGGGTGGTGCGTGTATGGAATGAGCTGCCAGAGGAAGTAGTGGAAGCTAGTACAATTACAACATTTAAAAGATACCTGGATGGGTACATGAATAGGAAGGGCTTAGAGGGATATGGGCCAAATGCTCGCAAATGAGACTAGATTAATTTAGGATATCTGGTCAGCATGGATGTGTTGGACTTAAGGGTCTGCTTCTGTGCAGTAGAACTCTATGACTGTATGACTGAATGAGGCATGACTGCAAAGCTAAGATTTGATCCACTGGTTGTGGTATCGTTTATCTCTGTCTATCATGCACAGCATTTACTGTTTGGCATTTCCTCCCAGACTCTTCATTGAATCAGAGTTGATCCCCTGACTTAATGATAATGGTAGAGTGGGGGTTATGAGGGGCAATGCTAGTTGAATATAGTTCTGCCACTTTGATAGCCTTCCACACCTTGTGATTAAGCAGTTTTGAGTTGCTAGATCTGTTTGAAATCTATCCTATTCAGCACAGGGTGAAAACAATAAAATGGAGAGTATCCTCAAATGTGAAGACAGAACTTTGTCTCCACAAGGACTGTGTGGTGGTCACCCTTACCGATAGTGTCATGGACAGATGCATCTGCAGCTGGCAGATTGGTAAGGATAAGGTCAAGTATGTTTTTCCCTCTTGTTGGTTCCTTCACCAGACCCAGTCTAGCAGCTGTGTCCAACCAGCTCGATCAGTTGTGCTGCTATTAAGTCACTCCTTGTGAGGACAGAGTAATTCTGTGGCATTGCCATATTTTAAAAGTGTCAGTGAAATTTCAACAGATTTGGCAGCATCTGTGGATAGGAAATCTGAGTTAAAGCCCAGAATAGCTCTTTTTCCGTTCAGAAGAAGAGTTAAATAGGCTTGAAACATTAACATTGCCAGGCTTGCTGAGCTTCTCCAGCACCCTCTGATTGTATTTTAAATGTTACTAACTCCCTTGTAACCATCTATGTGCATCAACCATGTAGTGGACCATAAATTTAGACCTCTTGCTGAGCTAACCTCAACAAATAATAATGATGCTCTTACAAATAAAGTGGAGGCAATGTAATGTGAAATATATACAAAATTTAATTTTGAAATACTCCCAAGTCTTATATCAACGGAAGTGGAGTGGGGCAGAAAGGTTATGGCCATGATATTAGAACAGACGATTTTTTTTTCGGCTCTCTCATAGATGTAGCATGTCACACTGAAAAACTAATCACAGTGTGTGATCACACGTTTCACCTGCATCTGAAATTTCAATCATAATCGCTTGGGAAACAGTCTCAGGTACATGTCAGGAACTGCAATGCCATTCACAAAATCTCCTCCTTGGAATGGGGCAGGAGCAGGAGTTCAACATCTGAGGTAAATTAAAATAGACAAAATGTGTACCTACCTGTATCCAAGGCGCACAGTATACAAGAAATCAGCAAACACATGTAGCACTTCATTTCAATGAATAGAAAAGCAATAGTGAGCCACATTTGCTGTTTCGGACCTATGGTTTACAAACAAATGAAATGGAAATTAAATGAAGTAATGTCGCTGGATGAAAATTATTAAGATTCAAATTTAAACAGGTGAAGGGTAACAAAAAGAGAAAATGGATTTAGTACCTTTGTATTTTTCTATGCAAAAGAAAATGATGAAGCAAATTGCAGCAAAGGACATCATTGTACTGACCACAGCAATGACAGAGCTGAGAAGAATGCGTTTGTGGAGAAACTGTATTCCTGAAACAGAGATGTGCAATAAATTTTCTTCAATTCCAAAATACTGTGGAAAACAAGCATAAAATATGTACAAATCACACACTAACACAACTCCTGAATGCTTCTCCTGCCTCCTGCAGATTCCCACCAACAGAACAGCAGCAGATTGCAACTGGTTCTGGAAGATAGAGGAGGTATATGCCAGACAGTTTACACCTTAACAAAGCCAGAACCAGTATTCACTTTGAGCAGTTTGGTAGTGGTACCCGAAAGCATTTAAATTAACCTGGCAGTGGGAGGGGAACTAAAATTAACATTAGAACAGACAAAGGCGTACAAGGTTTGGGAGAGGTATGCTACACTAGAAATAAATCTAGATGAGGGCAGATTAAGATACAATAAAAGATGGTCTAAATTAGGCTTATAGTACAAGCATGTAAACACATGTTGGATGTAAATGTCTAAGCCAGCATTTATTGCCCGTCCTTAATTGCCTGCTTTGAGAAGGTAGTGGTGAGCTGCCTTCTTGAACTACAGCAGTCCATGTGCTGTAGGTTGACCCACAATGCCCTTAGGGAGGGAATTCAAGGATTCTGACCCAGTGACAGTGAAGGACACAAATAAAAAGGAAATAAGGTTAGTAAAATGCAGCATAAAGGACATATGGGAATATGTTATCATAATGAAAACAGAAGTCTGGCTTTAAACTAAAGACAAGACTACTTAATAACTAATCTCGGATATTAGGTGTTCAGGAAAATTAGGGGAGGGATATATTGGAGGACGAGTGACAGCATTGTTTAATGTTGTTTAAGATTTTTAGACACAGACTGAAATTGCACAATGGCAGATAATGAAATCTAAATTGAATTAAATCTAGAGTTAAAAGCTAATTGCTGATGTCCTAGAAAACCACCTGGATCATTTGTGTTCTTGAGGGAAGGAAATCTGCTGTCCTTCCTGGTCAGGCCGACATATCACTCCAGACCCACAGTGATGTGACTTTTAATTGCCTTTGAAATAGCTTAGTGAGCCAATTAATTCAAGGGTAACCAGGGATAGGCAACAAATGCTGGTCTTGCAATCAATGCTTACATTCCATACAGGAATTAATACAAAATCAGTGCTCGAGAGAAAGAGAATGTAGGCTTCCATTTATTATTGTATATATTTTGCAGGCCACCAGCTAATGGGAAAGATATAGAGAGACAGATCTGCAAGAGCAATACAGTGATGCAAGAATTATAGAATAGTTATAATGGGGCAATGTTAAGTATCCGAATATAAACTGCATTGTAATAGCGCCAGTGGTAGGGATGGGAAAGTGTTTCTAACGTTTTGGAACAATTTTACAGATTGATGTGCTTCTAACCCAATAGGGAAGGATACATTGCTGGATTTAATTCCGGGGAATGAGGAGGGTCAAATGGACCAAGGGTGAGCATTTGGGGAATAATGATGGCACTATCATTAGGTTTAGAAACAAAAACAGAAATTGCTGGAAAACTCAGCAGGTGTGGGAGCATCTGTGGATAGAAATCAGGGTTAATCATAGAGTTCAGCCCATCTCGTCCATGCTGACCAGGTTTCCTAAACTGAACTAGTCCCATTTGCCGGTACTTGACTGTATCCCTCTAAACCTTTCCTATCCATGTACCTGTCCAAATGTCATCTTAAATGTTGTAACTGTACTTCCTCTGGCAACTCATTCCAGTCATGCACCACCCTCGGTGTGAAAATGTTGCCCTTCAGGTCCTCGTTAAATCTTTCTCCTCTCACCTTAAACCTATGCCGTCTAGTTTTGGACTTCCCTACCATAGGAAATAAAGATTCTTCAATTCTAAATAAGGGTCACTGCAGCCAAAATGCCAACTCTGCTTTCTGTTCACAGATGCTGCTAGACTTACCGAGATTTTCCAGTAATTTCAGTTTTTCTTTCTGATTTCTAGCGACCACAGTTCTTTTGTTTTTTTTGTTGTTTATCATAAGGTTTAGGTTGGCTATGGAAAATCTAAAGTAACAAGAATTAACTAGGAGAGGATAAATTTCAGTTAGGTGAGAACATCTATCCCTGAAAAATTGGAATTAACATTAGGAATGTTTGTACTTTAATGAACTTTGTTCTTGAAGGTAGAAAATAGTGATATACTTCTTTTCTAGAATTAAAAACATATATCACTAATGGCAGCCACTAATCAAATGACTTGTTGTGAAAACCTATTTGGGTCACTAGGGTCATACAAAACAGAGGGGACCTTCCGCACATTGACTCTACACTGACCTATTTACATAAATCCCAGTTTTCAGTACTTGGTCCTTAGCCTTGAAAGTCCTGACATTTCAAGTGCTCATCCAAGTAGATTATAAAGGTTGTAAGATTTACTGCCTCCACTACACTCCAAGGTAGTTCATTCCAGATTCCCACTGTAATCTGGGAGAAAAACATTTTCTACAAATGCCCTCTAAACCTCCTGTCTTTCAACTTAAAATTATACCCCGTCGTTGTTGACTCTTTGACTAAGGGGAACAACTGCTTCCTATCCACGACAACAAGGTGCAGGGCTGGATGAACACAGCAGGCCAAGCAGCATCATAGCAGCAGAGAGGCCTATCGCTTCCTATCCACCCAGTCTATGCCCCTCATCATCTTTTACACCTCAATCAGGTTCCCCCTCAGCCTTCTCAGCCCCATAAAAACCAGAGCTTATCCAGCCTCTCTTCATAGCTAAAATGCTGCATCCCAGGAAACATCCATATGAATCCCTTCTGCATTCCCTCCAGTGCTATCGCATCCTTCTTACAGTACGGTGGCCAGAACTGCAAACAGTATTCCAACTGTGGCCTGATCAAAGTTCAGTACAGCACCAACATGACCACCCTGCTCAACCGACAAACGCAAGTATTTTGTATTCCTTTTTAACTACCCTATTAACCTGTCCAGCTGCCTTCAGTGATCTGCAAACAAGCAGTCCAAATTTCTCTCTGATCCTCTCAGCTTTCTAGTATCCTGCCATTACTGAGTACTCGTTTGTCTTGTTCTTTCTTCCCATAATACATCCCCGCATACTTTTCAGGTTTAAATTCCATCAGTCACTGATCTGCCCATCTAACCAATCAGTTTATATCCTTCTGTAACGTAAGACTATCTTCCTCACCTTGCCAATTTTCCTGTCATCCACAAACTCACTTATTGTCCTCCCCTGCTCTCTCCTCCACCATTTTCATCAATACCATTTATCATTTCTATATACCACCAAGGCCCATTGAGGAAAGAAATGCATCATCCTTACGGTGTCTGGCCTACAACTAACTCCAGACCCACTGCAATGTCATTATGTCTCTTAACTGCCCCCTGAATTGGCCTAGCAAGTCACTTTGCTCAGTTGTATCAAAACTGTTGCACTTGCTGCAGTTCCCGGAACTGGCCTCAAGGACAATCAGAGATAGACAAAAAATATTGGCCTTGCCAGCAATTCTCACATTCTGTGGTTAAAGTTAAGAAAAGAAGCAAAATGTGAAGTGACACATTTCACAAGGAAGCACAAGGAGAGGCAATATAAAGTTAAAAGTGACATTTTAAAGGGAATATAGCAGCAGAGAAAGTGATTCGTAGGAACCGTGTGATCATAATCTCTATTATGAATAGAGATAAATGCCCTGCACCTTTACAAATAGAGATAGGTCCTAAATGCAGAAGTTCTGCCACAAAATTTGGCAGATCCCAATTGTGTTGACAGGGGAAAATGGATAGTGCATGAGTCATACATGTAAGAAATTGAAAGTAAACTGGGCCATTTGAAATTAATACTGAGTTCAATGTAGGCTGCTAGAGAACATTGGTTGACAACTCATTTTGTGCAGCTTAAAACAAATAAATAAAGTTCCCTCAGTTTCAACCAAATTCCCATCATTGAAATTTTCCAGTGGCTGTTGTTGCAGCTGAACACCTACAAATGCTTGTCTACGTTTCAAAACCTTGAAAGGCAATTATTGCATCAGCGTTGAAGGTAGGGATGAGTGCTAAATTCACATTTTTATTAGCAGTTTTAAGTGGCTATTGAAGGATTACCTTTGATGTTGTTCCTCATTAGGAGTTTATATTTGTAACAGACATGAGGGGATTTAAAATCTTTGAATGGATTTCATGAATGAGAATTTTTTTTTCTGTATCAAGTGTATATAAATGAGAGATCTTTCAGATGTTAAAAGTTTAATTATTTTTATTTCCACCTGACTTCTGAGGTCTGCCTGTGGTTGGTACTGAGTGAGTGGCTATGTCTGTAACATGGAGAGTGTGAAATGGCATTTGCCATGTTAATGCTAATGAACTGATTATCAATTGCTCATCAGAGATTAATTAGGTCTGTGGGTTAGTTTATTCGGCACAGTAACATACACTGCAAGTTATGAAGCAAACATTCAAGTAAACCAACTGATTTCTGTATGTCCTCAGCTTGCAGACCTATGGCAAATTGACTGCTTGACAGAATCACAACATTATATACATACAGCATACAGAGTCCTTGAAGGTGAACCCTCTTTTGGAAAGGAAGGGGATGTTGTATGTCTACTCTACCTTTAAGAAAGTTTAAACATTTATGAATCTATAATTTCTGGGTAATTTTCTGATATCTAGATTCTCATGATGGTGACTTTGTACATTGATTTCCCACAGACAGTGAAATTGTCTGTCATTCCTATTTGTATGCATCATTCTGTACATACCACAACAGTTCAGAGACTGGACAAGCCTGATTTGTCCTCAGCTCTGTCTTACTATTGCACGGTGACGTGCGTGAACATACGAACTACAATAGGCCATCCGGCCCTTTGAGCCTGCTCTGCCATTCAATAAGATGATGTCTGATCTGATTTTAACAATCAGTATGACACACGCAACTTGAATGTACTCAGTAACACTCTCATTATTGTTGCAAAATGAATATTAAGTCACACTTTACCAAACCCTCTATTCTATAATCCAACATCACTACCAGACTGTTTGAAAACCTACCATGGGC